TATATCATTTTGGTATCAGAGCTTAGCTCCTACCATCGGACATCACACAAATCGGGTGAGATCTATCCTTGTTTACATTTTGTTTCTTTCGTTTCTTTGTTTCAAATTTCGACAACTCAAAAGAAAATACAAAAACTGTCAAGTATTGTTCCTTGGTAAGGGCTGATCTATTCCACCATCCATTTCGCAGAACTGCTCCCATTAGAGTCATATAATCGATCGCAAACAAGCGGAATAGCACTCCACATTGTCATCGGCATTCTCTTCGGGTGAGATCCTTCCGATTCGAGTTTCTGAGCTTTGTTATTATTGATTGTGTTTCATCCTTGATGTGATGTGTTGCACCGTGATTATCCTTGATTCCAACTAGGTTGAACCTCCATTATAATCCGAACATCACCTTCTCGATTGCACGCACGAATCTGCTCAACCATCCTTGTGCATTTGCTTGCTATTCAATTTGATTAGTTCCTTGAACTATTACCGTGCGAATTAGGAGTTCTATTGTATGCTCATTATCCCGTCACTCTATTTAAGTTGATCCATCCCGACATCTAGGTAGCTTGAGAACATAGCTGTCTTAACAAGCACGAACACATTGATTGAATCTGACCATATTGGCCGTTGAGTGTTTCTTGCGTTGAGGAAATCTGATCATCTTCTTAAGACATCATCTCGTGCCTCAAATTGCTTTCGGTTGACATACCTCGCTGTTTGCTTTATTTGAGTGGCAAGCACGACATTTGTTGAGTGATTTGCACGTTAGCATAGGGTCTTTTGCTCGTTGCGTGAAATATTTGCATTGTGCGAGACTTGAGCGAACAATGAGTAACCCCGAGCCCTCTAGAGAAGGTTCTAACCGAGAACCAAGCAATGGCGATATTTTTAGATCCTTACAGATGATTATGGACCGCTTGTCTAGGCTAGAGGCCGAGCGGGCCCCCGAACCGCATATGCAAGAACCAATAGGTCACCGTAGACAAAACCAACCCCCTCCTATCGATCTACCAAGCGATGAAGAAAGCGATGTCCGACCAAGGCATAGGCCAAGAGAGAGAGTGGTAGATAACCTTCCCGATCGAGGAGAGCCCCGTAGGCACTAACACCACAGACCCCGAGAGATAATGTCCGACGAGGAGTCGGATCCCGATTACATCCCTAGAAGGAACCTACCTCGTAGAGTTAGACCCGAACGATGGGCCAACCAAGTAGAGGATGATAACTATAGACCAAACCGGAGTCAAGGAGGAGACCTTAAGCTTAAACCACCACTGTTCGTAGGTCGTATAGATCCGGAAGCGTATCTCGATTGGGAGCGTCGCATGGATAACATATTCGAGTGTTATTCGTATTCGGACCGTAAGCAAGTCCAATACGTGGCGGCTCAATTAGCTGAAAGCGCCTTAGCTTGGTGGGACCGGGAATTGACTGAACGACGCTGCGCTCAAATAGAGCCAGTCGGCACATGGCGTGAAATGAAAGCGTTAATGCGGAAACGCTATATCCCACCTCATTTCCATCGCGAACTCCAGCGAAAATATCGAAGGATTTCGCAAGGTGCTAGAACCGTAGAAGAGTATTTCGAGGAATTTGAGCACCTTAAGAGTAGATTAGTGATGGACGAGGATGAGGAGACCGTGATGGCACAGTTCCTCGATGGCCTCAACGAGCGTATTGCTCGAAAGGTCGAGCGCCACCCATACCAAAACCTCCACGAGCTCTTACACTTGGCCGTGTAGATCGAAAAGCAAAACCAAAGTAAACAAGCCCGGCTAAGTAAGCCCAAACCCTCACCTAGCAACCCCGTTACCCTCCCTAGGACTACCTCCACCCCCCGAAAGGAAACGACCGAAGGTCGTAGCTTTCCGAGTTACAAGGAAAAGGGGAAAGCCCCAGAAACCTCGCAATCCCGAACTCAAACTGACTCCACACGCAATCTATGATCACGGGAGATCATATGTTATAAATGTCGGGGAAGGGGACATATGGCTCGTGACTGTCCAAATGCTAGGGCAATGATTATTACGGACAGCGGAGACTACGAGTCATTAGACCAGGAAGAGGCGGGCGACCTTGAGGAAGAGATCGCTTACCCGGATAGCGGTGAATTACTAGTCACTCGACGAGTACTTAGTACGCTAGTAACTCCGGAAGAGACCGCCCAACGAGAGACGATCTTTCACACCCGTTGCACAGTAAATGGGAAGGTATGTGGAATGATTACCGATAGTGGTTCATGCACCAACGTTGCCAGCGCTTATATGGTGAAAAAGCTGGATCTATCCACAGAAAAACATCTGCACCCATACAAGCTGCAGTGGCTTAATAACAGCGGAGAACTCAAAGTGACCGAAAGGGTCAAAATCTCGTTCAGTATAGGAAAGTATCGCGACGAGGTCCTTTGAGACGTCATTCCTATGCAAGCCGGTCATATCCTTTTAGGCAGACCAATCGGGAAGTAACCCACGACGGCCGAGCCAACTAATACTCCTTCGTGTATGACAAACGAAAGGTTGTGCTTGCGCCACTAAGCCCATCTCAAGTGCATGAGATGCAATTGAAACTAGCCAAGGATTCTGAACCGAAGAAAAAGAATTTCTATATAAAGGCTAGTCATGTCGTGCGCGCTGTTCGTCAAGAACAATCGGTGTTGCTCTTGGTATTCAAGGATCAATTGAGCTTATCTTTGGAAACACCGACTCATAATCCTGTTGTTAGCCGACTCTTAGAGCACTATAGCGATGTATTTCCGGATAAAATCCCCGCAGGATTACCTCCTATACGCGGGATCGAACACCAAATCGATCTAGTGCCTGGAGCATCGTTGCCTAACCGGTCCGCATACCGGATGAACCCTGAAGAGACTTGAGAGCTCGAGAAACAAGTCCAAGAGCTAATGAGTAAGGGCTATATCCGAGAAAGTCTCAGTCCTTGCGCTGTACCCGTACTACTTGTGCCTAAAAAGGACGGGACTTGGAGGATGTGTGAGGATTGCCGCGCCATCAACAACATCACGGTTAAGTACCGGCATCCCATACCTCGGCTTGATGACATGCTCGACGAACTCAGCAGAGCCACGATCTTCTCCAAGATCGATCTTAAGTGCGGATACCATCAAGTACGAATGAGAGAAGGCGATGAATGGAAAACCGCCTTCAAAACGAAGCAAGGCCTCTACGAGTGGCTCGTGATGCCCTTCGGGCTTACGAATGCCCCAAGTACGTTCATGCGACTCATGAACCATGTACTAAGAGCCTTCATTGGGAAGTTTGTAGTGGTCTACTTCGACGACATTCTTATCTATAGTCGAAGCTAATACGACCATCTTTCGCACCTGGAGCAAGTGATGACCACTCTTCGACAAGAAGGTCTATATGCCAACCTTAAGAAATGCTCGTTCTGCACAAATGAGTTAGTATTTCTAGGCTTTGTGGTCAGCTCTCAAGGGCTGCGAGTTGACGGCGAAAAGATCAAAGCCATACAGGAGTGGCCGACGCCGTCTATTATCGGACATGTGCGGAGTTTTCTTGGTCTAGCTAGTTTCTACCGTCGATTCGTCCGAGACTTTAGCTGCATCGCTGCTCCCCTCACCGCGATCACAAAGAAATATGTGGTCTTCGAATGGGGCGAGACTCAAGAGCGCGCCTTTTCCGCTCTAAAGGATAGTCTCACTACCGCGCCGGTTTTAGTCCTCCCAAACTTTGACAAAACCTTTGAGGTCGAGTGCGATGCCTCCGGGATTGGCATTGGAGCCGTCCTAATGCAGGAGAAGAGGCCCGTGGCCTATTTTAGCGAGAAGCTCAGCGGCGCTACGGTGAACTATCCGACTTACGACAAAGAGCTCTATGCTCTTGTACGTGCACTTGAGACGTGGCAGCATTATTTGCTCGCCAAAGAGTTTGTCGTGATTTCCGATCACGAGACGCTAGAGCATAGCATCTTAAAGGACAAACCACGCTTAAGCGACGCCACGCCAAATGGCTTGAGTTTATTGAGACGTTTTCCTACGTAATCAAGTATAAGAAGGGAAAATAAAACGTCGTCGCGGATGCTTTGTCTCGTAGACATACGTTGCTCTCGGTCATGGAAGCCCGCATCCTAGGCTTCGC